TTTGGCTAAGGGACCGCTTACCCATCGATGGGAAGATCTTCCCATCGCTGGGTGGGTGGTTAGTCAGGAACCCATGGTTTTTGCCTTAACCACGGCCTAGCCAACCGATGCGAAAACCGACCGAAAAATTCAAAGTTCTCCAAAATAAAAACCAAGTGTTTAGAATACTTATTTGAGGTATTTGGCTAAGAAATCAAGTAAGACACTTTAAAAACCACGTCATTTGAGTGAAAACCACGGCTAGCCGAGTTTATGCCGTTTTGAATGATTTTTGTCAAACGACCAAAAGCGAAAGATGGTTTTCAAGGTGTTTTGTTGGAGAACCGTTTAAACATGCCAAAGAGTGAAAATCAATCATAAAAAGTTGAAAACCACTTGGTTGGTTCGGACGCCAAAAACCCTAGCCGATAACCGGGAGCCGAACGCCGGTTTCTGAAACCCGAACGCCGGATGGCTTGGTTTTTGGTTTGGGCGAACACCAAGTGTTTTTAATGACTTAAACATGTTTGAAAAACATTTTTATGATTTAGGAAATGTAAAGAAGGATTTTAGCCTAAAGTGCCAATGCGTAAGGGTTGGGTCGGTCTTGATTACAATTATGACTGACTCAACAAAGCTAAGGACTTCGGTCTTCGTTCTTGGTCTCTTTTGGCTCTCGTTTAACTTTCCATTCTTCGCCTTGTATATTCATTGTTTGACTTGATCACGGCGGTTTGGCATTATCAAAACCTGTTACAAAAACGAACACGGCTTTAGTACGAAAACGTGACAAGCCCGTGTTTCAACAATGCGTTCGACCCCGTGCATTGCACGGGTTAAATGCTAGTAGTATTCAAAAATCAATTGATTTTAAAATATTTTAATAAAATAGAGATTTTGATGGATTTTGGAGAGTATAAATTGAAATTTAAGTCCAAAATCTCACCAAAAACATAAAGATTTTGCAAATTCTAGATCTTGGACTCTCATTCTCTATGGGCGATATCTCCCTTCGCCGACTTCTCAATCCCGCTGATCTTGGACTCCTGTTGGTGTAGACCAAAAAGCTACCAAAAAGAAAGCTTCTTCTTTGTCCAAGAAGAAGAAACCCGTAGTCAAAAAATGAAGATCCAGTGAATGTCTCCATTTGCGATTCTGAATTCCTCGAAGATGCAGAAACTGAGGACGTAGAAACTGTAGAAGCTAAGGGTGCAAGTGAAGAAGATGAGAGCTCCTCTGCTTCTGGTTATGAGTCTAACTCTTCCTCTCTAAATACAAAAGAAGTTGTTGGCAAGGAACTAGGGCTGGAAAGCAAGGAAACACCTACCATACCCTCCAGGTGTTTGATGAAAATCCTCAACCACCAAAGAAGGCGGAGGCAAAGAAGCCATCTTACGCCTCCTTTTTTAGAAATTATAGGGATGATACTAATGGTATGAAGCTCTACAAGGTTGAGCAAACTGATCCCCATATCATCAAGGATGAAGATGTGCATCCAGTGGAGGAGGTTTGGGGCTTCTGCTTGGTTGGGTGTTTGACAGGTAAATTTTCTGATCTCAAAGCTATTCAACGGTTGGTGGCGGGTTGGGGTATACCTTGTGAGGTGATTCCCCACCATAAAGGGTGGATATATTGAGGTTTGAAAATGATGAAGCTAGAGACTATATCTTGGGAGAAGGCCCTCACAAAATCAGTGGAAAAGAGTTTCTGTTCAGGAAACCTCATGATGAATTTCTATTTTATTTTAAAGCCTTCACTCCCATTCCTTTTTTGGGTGCAATTATGTGATGTACCTATGCAACTGTTGACTCCTGCGCACCTCTCCAACATTGCCTCAAAGCTTGGAAATCCTATATACTCGTATCAGCTCACCAACCAAAGGAATAAACCTAACTACTACTGCAGAGTACTTGTGAATATGAATTTGTCTGTTTAGCCACCTCTCAGGCTTGAAGTGGTTTTTAAAGATCAAACTTTTGATGTAAAGGTGGTTTATGAAGACATGCCTCAACATTCCTACCACTGCCAAAAGAGAAAGAAATAAAGGAAAAGGAAAAGGAGAAGAAGAAGGAAAAAAAGAAAAAAATAAAAGAAAAAATAAAAGAAAAAAGAAAAACATAATCCATGGATTATAAACAATTTGCCATAATCCTATAAAATCTTGCTAATAAAATACATTAAAATCTATCGAACTCTGCGTAGACTTAAAATAATCCATTGAATTTCCAAAATTCATGGATTCTAAACAATCTATCAGAATCTTTTAAAATCTAGATTGAATACACCCCCCTAAATCAAACAAAATATTTAGGTGACTATAATTTCTCCACAGTTTCCGAGGCAACAAAGACGATCGATATGGAGTCGCCTGCAATATGTGCCAAGAGGACTAAGAGAGTTTTACTATTTGAGAATACTTTTAACGATTTAACGAGAATGTACCTGCCATTAAAGCTTGAAGACAATTAAAAATATTGTACATAACTCATTCGAGGATGCATGCGAAGGATTGAATTAATAACCGATGATAACGAATTTATTGAAAGTATAAAAGATGTTGCTAGATTATTTATTTTACTTTGATTTAAACTTCTATAATGTTAAAAAACGCATTACATATATTTTCATAAATTCATTTGAAATATTACATTGAAGTAGAAAATTTACATATATGACAAAATTTAGTTCGGCTCCATGTCTCACATGAGTTAAAATACTAGTTAATTATAAAGAAAATAACGTACTCCATCCGCCAAAAATCAAACACCAAAAGTAAAAGAGTGATGTTAGGGACACACCACGTTATAATCCACACTTTCCTCCCTCACCAATTATAGGCCGAAGTTTGTTATCTCATTTTTTAATGTTAATATTTTTGGGTCTTTCCAACCAAAACTCCAAACCATTAAAGAAATCCCCCCATTCATTGCCCATATTTCAATTTTTCGTACTTCCTCCGTCTTAAAGTATTTGTCTACTGTTGATTTTTTCCAATCAAAATTGGTAAACTTGATCTCAAATCAAATAAAAATGATATTAGATATTGATGCAAAACAAGTTTTATTAGATTTATTATATAAAATATTTTCAAAATATTACCTCCTTCGTTCCCAAATAAACTTCCTCTTTCGTTTTTTCTTTGTCCCAAAAAACTTCCCTTTTCTATTAAAAAACCACTTTTACCCCTTACTTTTTCATACCCTACTTATCACATCATACCTTTTTACTAATAATCTATCCATCACATCTTACTTTTATCCATCACATCAAGAGTATTTTTGGAAAGTCAACACCAAAATATCCCTCCATTAATTTCCCAAAAAGTCAATAAGGGAAGTTTATTTAGGGACGGAGGGAGTATTTCATTTTATCAATATACAATATACTCCCTCCGTACCAAAAAGAATGGGACGGTTTGACTTTTTGGAAAATTAAGGGAGATATTTTGGTATTGACTTTCCAAATATACCCTTGATGTGATGGGTAGATTATTAGGAAAAATGTATGATGTGATAGGTAGGTTATGAAAAAGTAAGGGGTAAAAGTGGTTTTTTAATAGAAATGTAACGGACTTTATGGGACGCAGTTTTTTCTAAACGTAACAAACTTTTTGGGATGGATGGAGTATATTTTATTTAGTTATAACTTATAAGTCAAACGTTGAAAACTATTGATTGAAAAAAGTCAAAACTGAACAAATATTCTAGAAAAGAGGTAGAAAATTATATATGGAAACTCTACTAGTGATGCTGTAAAATCCATTACGTGGGAACAAAATCTTCACTTTTTAAATTGTACGGCTTTCCCTTCCTAGAGCCAGTAGAAGAGGCCCAACCAGAGAACAATAATAATAATACGTAGTATAAGATTAAAAAAAAACCGATCGAATAAAGGGAAGTGCAAAAGTTAGAATAATGAATTTGTTTAATTATGAACACAAATGAAACGGACGAAATGGCATAGAGAGGCAGTCACTGATCGACTGGCTCCTCACTTCCTCAGATCGTAAGCAACAGCGTCTAGTCTAGTGTAGTCTAGAAAGAAAGAAATGGCTCCTCCTCCTCCTAATAAGCAAATCTACTACTACTCATCCCCCATTAATGTCTCTGCAGCTTATTGCCTAATTTTAATAATGTCATCGTCTCTGATCTCTCAATCCCATAGCTCCTCGCCGGATAATGTTGATGATGAACCCCCCGCCGCCGCCGGTTCTTCCGACGAGGTTAGTTTCCGGCGGCCTACGACGGCATTCGATGAGGAATATTTGGATGATGGAGAGAGAGTTAGTGTGTCCTTGTACTACGAGTCCCTCTGTCCCTACTGCGCAAACTTCATTGTTCATAAGCTGGTGAGGTTGTTTACCACAGATATTGGGTCCATTGTCAATCTCAGGCTCATCCCTTGGGGTAACACCCAAACAACCACTAACAACGCCGCCTGGATTTGCCAGGTTCTTTGTTCATATATACGTACAAGAGTTTTTATTTTCCTTCTCAAATCTCTCTCTATATCTATCAATACTCCCTGCTGCAGTCTTCCACAATTATTTTTTGGTTTTGTTTTTTTTTTTTTATAACTTGAATCTCCGATCCACTACGCATGCAATTTCTTAATTTCAATGTCCCAAAAATGTTTACAGCATGGCAGTGATGAGTGTCTGCTGAATCTAGTGGAAGCCTGTGCCATCAGTTCATGGAATAATATGGTAATTAATTAATTAACTAATTAAAGGCATGATTTTATATATATATATATATTATGGATGATGTCTTGTGTCAATGCATGGATACAGGAGGTGCAATTCAGGCTGGTATATTGCATAGAGCGTTTGCATCTAGAGAACAGACATAGTGAATGGGAATCTTGCTTTTCTGGAACGGGATTGAGTGAGGCTCCAGTTAGGGATTGCTTAAGCAATGGAGTTGGAACCTTTGTCAGTACTCTTTTCTTTTCTTCTCTTTTTGTACTCGTTAAAAATGCATGTTGTCAATGTTGACATCTTAATTGTGTCACCAATGCATGTGACTTTAATTTCTTGATGGAATATATATATACTCCCTCCGTCCCAGAGTATTCGTCCAGTTTTGACTTTTGAAACTGTTCATATAAATACTTTGATTCATCGAATTCTCTCAATGTGTAAGCCTAAATATAGTCATGTGTGATCTTGTTTGATTTGTCTTAACATATGATTATTAATATATAATTTCTATAATTTTTTAATATACAAATTACAAGATAAAATGGATTAAAGAAGTATATTGGATGGTGTGTAAAAATGAAAGTAGACAAATACTCTCGTGGGACGGTAGTGTGTGTGTGTGATGGATGATGACATATTTGATTGCATTTGCATGCAGCTAGAGGAGGCATATGGTGCTGAGACAGCTAATCTTAACCCCACCCACAGGTTTGTGCCATGGCTTGTGGTGAACAATCAGCCTCTTCAAGAAGTACGTTAGTCATTCAACTCTACCTTTATATTTCCTGCTCCATCCATTTCACTTTCGTGGTTCAAAGTTGACAAATTTTAGGATTATGATATTTGCACACTAAGATTTGTACCCTAATTTGTACAACGAAAGTGTGTTCCTTCATTTTGTGTCAGTATAATGTTAGAGTGATAGTTCATACAGACACTAAATATTAGAGCAAATTTTTGTTAGCGCACTAGCATTTTGTATCAGTGTGAACCATCAAAATGTTAGTTTATATCTTTGGTATAACTTTCGGGTATACTTTTTGGTGTAAGTGTAGCATGATTGCAAATTTTAACTTAAATGATCACAAATACTCCCTGCCTCCAATCTCCCATGGATGTTTTCATTAGCTCTTTTATATTTTTGATAGATCTTCTCATTACTTTTTTTAATATTAAAAAGCCACAATTATTCTCACTTATTTTATTTATTACACTTCATCCACCTCATTTAAATATAATCCACTCATTTTCATTAAGAATATTGGGAAATACGGAGTATTTACCTTATTTCTATTCCCCTTAAAAGCACAAAAAAACAAAACAACAAGATCTTTGGGGGACGGAAATAGTATTATACTTCCCTGGGTCTCAAAAACTCCTACCTCTCTTTTTTTCTTATCTCAGAAGGTTATTCAATTTATCTTTCAATTAAAAAATCGCATTACCCCTACTTTCATAACCTTACTTATCAAAGTATTTTTTTGGTAATAATTTACTTATCACATCTAACTTTTACCTATCATATTAAGGCTTTTTTTGGTATACAGAATTCAAATTATGGTGCTGGAGACAACAATTCTAATTCTGTTGTTTGGCAGGAAAAAAATATATGAATTTGAAATTGATAGTGCTAAAAGTGTATTGGAATTGGAGAATTCAATCTCATCCAAATCAATTCCATTGAATTTAAATTTCCTATTTAATTTCAATTTCTTCAATTCTGTATACCCAACTGGCCGTAAGGATGCGTTTAGTACATGGAATTGGCGGAATTGAAATTGAATTGAGAGTTTGAAATTCTAAGAAATTGATTTGGATGAAACTAACTCTCTAATTCTAATTCATTTTTCGCACTACCAATTCCTAATCAACATATTTTTGTACTCCTAAACAGCAAAATTGGAATTGTTATCATCAATTCCAATTTCATACTTTAAATTCTATATACCAATCGGAGCGTAAATGTATTTTTTGAAAATCAACACAAAAATATCTATGGAACAATTTTTATGGGAGGTAAGAAATATAATGTTCTCAATTAAATACGAAGTATTAGTATTTGCAAATTATTACGGAGTAAGACTTTTTCAAACGGCGGATCAGGAGTTTAATTTTAAGTATTTAAGTTGTTGCTCATATGGCTGCAGGATTATGAAAACTTTGAATCATATATCTGCCGAGCGTACATGGGAAGCAGAACTCCAGAGGCTTGCAAGCAGTCATTATCATCCGCAGTCAATATGGTCAAGAAAACGAGCAGCACCCCTCCTCGGGTCTGTGTTCGGGAATAACATGTTCTAGACTTGTTTTTTACGGAGTATTTTTTTGAGTGATATGCGAAGTACTCCCACCGTCCCCCTAAGATGTTCTCATTTTGACTTGTGGTTGTTAAGGAGAGTGTAAAACGGGTGAAAGTTTACCATAATATCCTTAATGAAATATGGATGGAGTGTATTAAATGAGGTGGGTGAGGTGTAATAAATAAAGTAAGTGGGGGTAATTATGGTATTTTAGTTGTTAAAAAATGAAATGAGAAGATCTATTATGGACAAAGAAAAATGGCTATTGGGAAGATCTATGGGGGACGGAGGGAGTAATATTTTTCTTTTCTTTTTTGAGTAAATTCCATAATTGGTTCTTTATAACATAGGGGTTTCTCTATGTAGTCTCCAATTATCAAATATTACCCTATTGATCCTTCTTTTATAGGTATCTTTCCATAAATGGTCCTTTTTTGATCTGCTGTCATGTTAGTGTTAATTTGAAGGCTAAATATATAATTTGACATCAACATTATGTCTTGTGACGTGTTCTGATATAGGTTAAGCGGATAACATAAAAATAATGACTATGATTGTGGACTAGAATTCAAACGAAAGACCACATTTGTAGACTATGTTTGTAATAGAAAGCGGTTGTAATTCACAAACGATGCAAACGGAACAGCCTTTGGAATTGTGTATGAAAAAAAAGATATATTATCATTGTTAAATTACACTTTTAGCCTTCAAATTAACACCAACATGATAGAAGATCAAAAAAAGACTATTTGTGGAAAGATACCTATAAAAGAAGGACCACTGGAGTAATATTTGATAATTGATGACTAAATAGGGAAACTTCCCTATTATAAAGGACTAGCTAATTATAGAATTTACTCTTCTTTTTTTGAGGGATATATTTTTCTATATTAAATTATGCAGTGGTTAAATAATTGACGGTACAAAGTACTCAAAATTAAAGTTTTTTTAAAACTTAGTTCTCCGTTTTAAAGTTAGTTCTCCGTTTTTGTTGTGGACTACGATGCGTGACTGAAATTTGTACATTTCAATTTATATAAAGGTTGATGTAAAATTATTAAATACAGGTTATATATTTAAAAATTATTTAATAGTTTATGAAACAAGTGATAAACACTCCATTTGGTTTTATCAAATCACATGACCAATAAAAAAATAAAAAAGTTACATAATTTTATTGTGTGAATAGTAAAATAAAATATTATTATGGGTGGAATGGAATCAAATAGAGATAAAGTAGTGTTTTCGAAGAAAAATTAAATAAATGGCACTTTAATCACAAGTCACAATCCACGGCACAATGTTTTAGGGTCTGTTTGAGAATAACATTAGAGATTAGCGTTAGAGTTTATTGTTAGCTATTATAGCTGTTATCATTAGAGCTAGGGCCGTCTCTGAAAAATCAAGGGCCCTGTGTGACACACAGAAAATTGGCCATTGTGTCATAATATAACACTCCTTCTGTTCCTAATTTGATTACAAATTATGGATTACGGAGTAAAATTTTCTACTTTTTGAAATCATTTTATTTAGAAAATGGTATATCTATAAAATATAAGAATTACTCCCTCCGTCCCGCAGTTTTTGTCCACTTTTGACTTTTGGAACTGTTCATCCAATTCAAGCACTTTGACTCATCAAATTCTCTCAATGTATAAGACTAAATATAGTCATGTGTGATCTTGTTTGATTTGTCTTAAAATATAGATTATTAATATATAATTTTTATAATTTTTTAATATACAAATTACAAGATAAAATAGATTAAAGAAATGCATTGGATGGTATGTAAAAATGAAAGTGGACAAAAACTGGGGGACGGTGGGAGTACATATTAAAAACAACGTCAAAAGTTCTACAAAACAAGATATGACAAAAATATTTTATTTTATCAAATACTTAATGAAATTGCGTAAACAAACAAAAGTTATCGAGAGAAGAAAGAAAAAAATTATAATCTATTTAGGAACGGAGGGAGTAAAATCTATCAATTAGTTTATTTAAAAATAATTGACATTATACTAATAAGAATAATATAATAGAATATCAAATTCATGGTGTAATCAATTGTGTGGCTCCGAATCTCCGATGGACTGGCTAGTGCTTTAGCTTAATTCTTTCCGTATGTAGATAGGCCACTAGGCCCACTGTCCTTTACTTCTTTGTGTTTTAAATTTTTTATATAAATAAATAAATGTGTGTGTGTGTATATATATATAAATATAAATATATATATATATATATATATATATATATAGAAATTGGGCCCCTTAAAAAATGGGCCATATCCCAATGACCAGGCTGCCCCTCTCTCCAGCTGGCCTTGATTAGAGTTAGTTATTAGTGTTTTGTATTTGAGTAAATTCTAAAATTAGTCCTTTATAACTAGGAGTTTCCCTATTTTGTCCTCTATTATCAAATATTATTCCAGTGGTCCTTCTTTTATGGGTACCTTTCTATAAATAGTCTTTTTTTGATCTTCTATCATGTTGGTGTTAATTTGAGGGCTAAAAGTGTAATTTCACAATGATAATATATCTTTTTTGTCATACACAATTCCATAGGCTGTTCCATTTGCATCGTTTGTGAATTACAGTCACTTTTTACGACAACTATAGTTCACAAATGTGATATTTCGTTAGAATCTAGCCCACATTCATAGTTATTATTTTTGTGTTATCTACTTATCAATATCAGAACACGTCACTAGACATAATGTTGATGTCAAATTATACTTTTAGTCTTTAAATTAACACCAACACGGCAAAAGATAAAAAAAGGACCATTTATAGAAAAGTACACTTAAAAAAAGATTACGTGGTAATATTTGATAATAGAGAACTAAATATGGAAACCCCCGTATTATAAAGGACAAATTATGAAATTTACTCTTGGTATTTTAACGTTTGGTAATTGGAATTCTTAAAAGATAATTAGACCTCAAAATTACTAAAGCCCTGCACAGAAATTTGCAGTGTGAATGTTTTCATTGCATTTTTTCTTTTTGATTTTTTTATAAACTAAATACTCCATATCAGTTCAAGCAAAAAATTCTTTCCAATTGATGAATCATGAATGAAGTTTCTTGATAAATTAGACCTTTGTGTTTTTTTGTGATGGATCTACTGCCTAAAATAGTTAGGGGTAAAATTGGTAACTCAAGATCATAATGCTGTTTTGCTCCTTGAACGCTAGGGGGAGTGCAGGGTTGAGCTTTTATAGTTGAGAAGAAATCGGATGGGATATAACAGCATATTTATGCATCTCAATTGACGGTAAACAAACACTTCACTTTGAGATGAATAGCGTTTGGCCATAGAAACGCCCTCCCCAAACAGGCCCTCAATCGAGAACCTCCTACTCCAAACGGATAAATCTCTTGTATTCCACGTGTCTGAAACGTGCGCTACGTGTCACACGAATAAGGATGCAAATACTCCTACGCGTGTCATCTATAACTCTAAAGAATGCAAATACTACTACGTGCCACACGAATAAGAATAAAGAATTATCCGGCCCATCCTAGAATATTTATTCAATTTTTTAGTTTTACAGTTAAAATTTATTTATTTTATCAAATACTCCCTGCGTCCCAAAAAAATTTACACCTTTCAAAAAAATTGTGTCCCACAATCTCCTACTCATTTCTACTCCCTCCGTCCCCAATTTGATTACAATTTTTTTTCTCTCTCCTCTCGATAACTTTTGTTTGTTTACGCGATTTCATCAAGTATTTGATAAAATAAAATATTCTTATCACCTCTTATTTTGTAGAACTTTTGACGTAGTTTTTTAATATGTAATTTTTATAACTTATTGATATACCAATTTGTAAATAAAATGATTTCAAAAAGTAGGAAATTTTACTCCGTAACCCGCAATTTGTAATCAAATTGGGGACGGGAGGAGTATTAAAAAACCAATTTTACCCCTTACTTTTTCAAACCCTACCTATCACATCATACCTTTTTCCTAATAATCTACACATCACATCCTACTTTTACCCATCACATCAAGGGTATTTTTGGAAAGTTAACACAAAATTATCCCTCCCTTAATTTCTACTTTAGTCAAAATGGGTAACACTTTATGGGACGGAAGTAGTATTATCAAAATATTTATAATTAATGTAACTTGTAATTTTTAATTAAGAGAAATGCTAGGGGTACACCACTTTAGTGTACCCCACAAAATCCTTCCTCTTTCATTTTTTTTCTTTCCACAAAACACTTCCACTTTCTATTAAAAAATCACTTTTACCCTACTTTTTCATACCCTATCACATCATACTTTATCACTAATAACTAAACTATCACATCTTATTTTTTTCCATCACATTAGGGACAAAATTGGAAAATTAAACAAAAATACATTTTCCTTATTTTTTCTTAAAGTCAAAACCGGAAGGATTTTGTGGAACGGGAAGGATAGTAATTACTAAGTTCAAATCCATATATATTCCTCACAAATTTTCAAACTTTTATACTAGGTAGTCGGTAAACCCTAAATCAGTTGGCGGGCCTAATTCATAGCCCCGGCCATTAAGTTGTCCACGATATATGGCTAGTGCAAGCGAAGAGTTCAGGCTCGTATCCCCTGGCTTCGACCACGCGGGCAGGTTTCCTCGAAAGTACACAATTGAAGGGCAGGGTGCGGCGAAGAACTTGTCGCCGCCTTTGGAGTGGTACAATTTGCCGGAGGGGACGAAGAGCTTGGCGCTAGTGGTACAATACATTGATGCCCCGGATCCCGGTTCACCCATCGTGCCGTGGGTGGTGTGGGTGGTGGCAGACATTCCTCCCACGCTGACCGGGTTGCCCGAAGGAGTGTCGGGCAAGTGTGAAGAGCTGGGCGGGGACTATTCTCAGATCAGGGAAGGGAAAAACGACGACAAGGTCATCGGATGGCGTGTGCCCAAGTTGCCTTCGCCCGGGCACCGTTTGGAGTTTCGACTTTTTGCTCTTGATGCCAATCTCAATCTTGGAAACAAGGTACACTAGTATGTATGTGTGTGTATATATATATATATATATATATATATATATATATATATATATATATATATATATATGCAATATGCCTTTCTATCAATTCCTAGTTCCTACTATCTTATTGCAAACGATAAAGAGTCATTTAACGCATCCATAATGTTATTCTTGTACTCTCCCTCCTTCAATTCTCATATCTTTCTCACAGTTTGACTTTTGTAGTTAGCACAAATTACGAAAAAAATACTTCAGACGTGCCTCTAGGTTTTTCACAGTACGCGTTACGGTGTGTGGAATTAAAAAAAATTATATGTTCTTTCCGTCCGTCTTAAAACGTTCTTTCCATTTTAGTTTACGAAGTTTACCGACATTATTTTCAATTCAATCTATTTTATTGTAGGTGTAAAATTTAAAAATAAAATTTATATAATTAAAATTTATTATGCATCACAGTGGAAGGTGGGATTATTTTTGAAAGACCGTGTAAAGTTGGGATTATTTTGGGTAATTTTTCCTTTAAAAATTACATCAAAAGTTCTACAAAATATTAGGTGACAAAACTATATAATTTTATCAAATAACTAACGATAATAAATAAAGAAAGTAAATAAAAATTTGACATTTGAATAGTAACGTGGAAAAACCTAGAGGGACGGAAGAGGGACGGAGTAATATATTAAATTCAAATACTCCTATTAAATATAAATTTAATATCAATATATTAAAACATTGTTTTGAAATATCATATTAATATTTATGCTAATAGTTAAGTGGTTGCATTGGATTGGAGATTGTAAAAAGTCGAATGAGAATAAATATATACTCTATCTGTTCCACAAAACCCTTTCTCTTTTGTTTTTTTTACTTTCCACAAAATACTTCCACTTTCTATTAAAAAACCACTTTTACCTCTACTTTTTCATACCCTACCTATCACATCATACTTTTTCACTAATAACCAAACTATCACATCTTACTTTTCCCATCACATAAGGGGAAAAATTGGAAAGTCAACCAAAATTACACTTTCCTAATTTTCTCCTAAAGTCAAAATTGGAAGGGTTTTGTGGAACGGAGGGAGTATTTCTAACATGGAGTAATTACAAAATTGGAAATAAAAAAATTTAAAAGTGTTTTTTGAGATGTTCGAAATACAAGAGTGGGTGAAGTTTTACTCAAGTCTTGAACCGACGGTATAGTTGATGAATTAGGTAATCATATTTAATCTTTTGTTTGAAAAAAAAAATCATTTGATTTTGGAAGTTAAAACTTTAAAAAGTTTGACCTCAAAAGTTTGAAAAGAATACCTATCACTCCTGAAATAATAATTTAAAATTAATATTATTTGATTAGTCTTGAGATGTAAATTTTGTGATTTATCATAAAATATTGGCACATACCTTTTGGGATACAAAATGGGATATAAATTTTAGAGTATAAATAGCTTAATTCAAAATCAAGTCATTCAAATGACCTTTTTTTTTGAGACGATTGGATTGGAGTATTTTGTAGGAGTATTTTGTAGGCAGAGCTATTCATGTTTAGGTCTAGACCGAAAAAACCCGACCAAATCAGATCGTTAGGTCCAGACCGAGCCTAGATCAAATGAGTTTCGGGCCGGTCTTCGGTCCAAAAAATTTAGGTATTCGGGTTTTGGTTCGGTTTAAATCCTAAACGATTTAGGTCCGGACAGATTAGACCTACTAGAACTAATAACCCTACTGGACCTAAAAGAGCTAAATACTAAAACTTTACTTTTTAAGTTCCATTTTGCACTTGGATGCATGCTCTATTTTATCTTAATTTATTTAATTACAAGGGTTTCTTATTAAGTAATTAAAAAAATTAAAAAAATGTTTCACATATTCTACATAGAAATAATCTGTGTTGTGTATCTATTTTTAGGTTGCTTATTTTTTAATTTTTTCTATTTTCACGGTACAAAATAAAAAGGATAAAATTTATCTAATTAAAATAATTAAAAAATACTCCCTCCGTCCCCCTAAGATCTTCTTGTTTTGACTTTTTACGGTTTTTAATGGGAGTTGAAAAAAGGTGAAAGTTTACCAAAATACCCTTAATGAAAATGGGTGGGGTGTATTGAATAAGGTGGAAAGGTGTAATAAATAAAGTAAGTGGGGATAATTGTGGTATTTTAAATGTTAAAAAAGATAATGAGAAGATTTATGTGGGACAAATAAAAAGGGCTAATGGGAAGATCTACGGGGGACGGAGGGAGTATATATTTTTATTCGGTGCAATCAGTCTAGACCGGTTCGGTTCTACGTATTTCGGTCCGGTCTTGTCTAAACCTAAATAGACTTAGGTCCAACAATAAATCCGTGATTTTATTCAATTCGTTCTTCCGTCCAGTTCGATACGCTCTTGGACCGACGAACATCCCTATTTGTAGGTACACCAAGCCGCTCATGAAATTTTAAGCCAAAAGCGTCACTAATGAAGCAGTTTTCAAAAGGAAAAGATGAAAATTGCAATTAAAAGGTAACTAATTTATAAAACTAAACTAAAACTGTTTTACGTACTTCAACCTCTTTTTCTGCTCCGTATCTATCATTAGGCTAGGGGAATTTCCAGGGTAGAAAATAAAAATATAATGACAAGCAAAATATTCCACGGTTTCAAATCTTCCCACAAGCTAGCTAGCTAGGTTGTCAATTAAAGGATATATCATACTGTTCTAAATTGAATTTTGTCGTTGGCCCAGTTTTCTTGAACATGGAATTTGTACAGTGTGTCTGGCAATTGAATATGGAACTTCCTTGTTAAGCGTGTTTGCCAATTCTTAATTTCCTTTGTTAGCATGATATGCATAAACGAAGGAAAAAAATTTACATTATCAAAAGATAAATGAAAACAGTCAAATAAATTACTATAATCTTCTTGTAGCTTTGGTCAAGCCTTGTTCTAGGCTTCCCCATCCTTTCTTTACTTATCGTACTCCCCGGAAGGCATGTCTTCCGTATGAGGGGCTGGCGTTAGGCCTTGGTTTGGTTCTCCCCTTACTTTGTGGTCACAAATAGATCTTAATAAAACTCGGTAAGGGTTGCCTAGAAAAAAAAATCGGTCAAATATATACGGGAGGCTAGAGGGAGTATGTATTTCTTCTCTCCCAACTCCCAACGGCTTTCTTTTTATGTTGTTTGGAACTAATATAGTACGGAGTACTATCTTTGTCTCAGTGTATTCGTGTTTGAAATTTTCGAATCAAATTGGATGATCTTTAATCCTCAATTAAATGAGAATTGTAATTGATATTAATATAATAACTATTTCATTAGATTTATCTTATTGAGAACTTCAAGAAATTGATTTTATCGTATTAATATGCAATACAAATTGAGAGCAATTGACGATTGAAGTTTGTCTAGTTTGATTCGGAAAAATCAAACCGGACCAATATACTAAGACGAAGGGAATACTTTTTACAAAAATGATGGCATTCACAACTTTTTTGCTTCTAAATATATGCATTTGAATCACTTTTTTTTGAAATAGTTTTTATGAACTCCATAAAATAAAATAGAATTTCTTTAAGAAAAATGTAGTACTACCTCCTTCCCAGTGTATTTGTCCAGTTTAACTTTTTCGAGTCAAACTAGAAAAATTTTAAACTCCAATTACTCTCAATTAATATTTCATATTAGCATAATGAAATGTAATTTTTGAAAGTTCTCAATACGATAAATTCAATAAAGTTATTTTTATGTTAAAACACATTACAGTTTTTATTTAATTGAAGCTTAAAATTTGTCTAGTTTGACTCAGAAAAGTCAAACTAGATAAATATACTGGGATGAAGGGAGTATTAAAAAACTACTCAATAGATAGAGCTCTATGTTTTTGCATAGTATTTGGCTAGTAGTTATTTTGTACTTTAGGGTTATTATTGCTCCAACGTTCAGAGTATTCGCTAAATTTGACATTTTAAATTTGAAAAAACATTAATCATAAATTACTCTCAAGTTCTATTCGATTAAGTTCTATTCGATATTAGTACACTGGAATAAATTTTTAAAAGTTTTAAACAACTTAGATATATTGAAATCATTTATAAACTCGTATATATTATTGTTTTTACATAATGATGATTTAAAGTTAGTCTAGTTTAACTTAAAAGAATGAAAGTGGACAAAAATTATGAAAGTGAGGTAATATTTTGTTTACTTTGTGCATATACGGAGTAACATTAAATTGAATTGGTCAAATTTAATTATTTTGGCAGCCGACAAAGGACAAGCTGCTAGAGGCTGTGGAGAGCCATAATCTTGCAGAGGCGGTCCTGATTGCCAAGTTCTGAATTCTGAATTGCGGCACCTGTTTTTTTTCCCTTCTTTTTTCTTACTTTAACTTGTCCTCTTTTAATTTCAGTTGTTTTTAGTTTTAGTTGTTTGTTTTCAATTTTTCCCGGTTTTACCCCAGTACTTTCCCTTTGTATCTCCAATACGCATGTGAAATATAAACCAAAATAAGAAAAGTTAAACTTGTGTTACTGTGTAATTTGTTTCGTCAAAGAGCAAGAGCGGGAGTCTAATGGTGGATTGTCCTTCGCCTTTTCATGCGTACAACATTCTCAAAAATTATTATATACAGATCGTTCTTTAAACAAGTTAAGGATTGTAGAGAGTTCGGCTTTGATACCAATTGTTAGGATATGTGCTGTTCACTAGGGGGAGAGTAAATAGTGAGGCACGAGAATGCCGATAAATTTTCAGTGAACAAAAATTGATGGGATAAAGTAATGTGTGAAATTAAAACGGTAAGAAAGAATACACCGTATTTATACTGGTTCACTATAACTTGTAGCTAGTCCAGTTTCTTGAGAGTCTTTTTCGAAGGTCTTACTAACTTTGTTAAGCTTACAGATGCTTAACAAAACGGTACAACATGAGAACTTGAGTCACACAAGCCTCAACAACGCTTGCTTGGAGATACTACACTCCAAGACTTCAACCGCTCTGACTCCTCGCCCAAGACTTCAACACTAAGATTACAGGTTCTTAGCAAATCCAATGCTCAATGAGAATTAGTCTTCTCAAATTTCTCTCTTAAAATATGAACTTTCTAGCAAGAGTAGATGAAGAGATACAATGAAAGCTCTATGAAAAAGACAAAGTTATCCATCAAATGGCTCAACAAAAACTTTAAATTTGATGCTCAAATGATATAGATATATTGATAAAGAAAGGGAGATGTTGCTCATGTAAAAATAAGGCAAAAGGCCTCTATTTATAGGGTATGAAGAGGGGTGACCGTCGCTTATCAATCCAAAAGAGACAAGCCAACAAAAAACAGATTTTAAATAAAACAGTAAGATAATTGATAACCATGAGGTCATAATTAACCAAATAATTGAAAATTCTAGCCGTTAGAATGCAAGGATAACTGTTATAGTCGATTATCAAAGTGGCGATAGTCGACTATCAGACCTCGCTGAAGTTTTAGAGTTATTGGCTAAAAATAGGCTGATAATTGATTACCAAAATGTGATAATCAATTATTTGGCTTCTCTGAAGTTTTAAAAAATCAGCAATCAAAAACCAAGCACAAAAATTGATCTGATGTTAAAAATCAAAGTTTCCCAAATCACAAACAAAAATTTGGAAACACTTATGTATCGTATATAAAGTAAAAACCAAGCAATAAAAGTTAAAAACCAAGTCTTTAAGTTAAAAACTACGAATCACCGATGGGTGAAGGATGGTTTCGATGGTTTTAGACCAAAGACCACGAACCAAGAGTAATTTTTAAAGCTTAAAGCTTTGGAAAACATTTAAATATACCAAGGAGTGAAAACCAATGATAGACATGAAAAAAACTTGATTAAACTCAATGCCGAAAATCAACACCGATAATCAATGGCGAATGCCGATAACCAACGCCAAAAACCAAAGATTATGGTTTTTGAAAACTAAACATTTGGAAAATCTTTAAATGTGCCCAGAAGCAAAAAACAAGGATAAAAATCGTTTGGCTAAGATCAATAAGTCGATAACCAACATTGGTAGTCGAATGCTAAAAGGTGAAGATTATGGTTTTGGTTGGGCAACATGCAAGTGTGAAAATCATGATTTTACGCATTTGAAAATTGACTTAAGTTGATCTAAAAGCCAAGATAACTTAAACGTTCCTCTTACATGAAGTTCTACCTAATGGCCTACGTCTTGGGGTGTTCGGTCTTGATCTCTTGAGCTTTTCTTTATTTGTCTTCATATCCTTGGCATGATCTTCACCTCAAGAACATGCTCTTTGTTAGAACCACATTCTTTCTTCATTGCTTGTCAACCATAACATCTTGACATCATTGTTTGTTATTCATCAAAACCTTCACTTAGAAATCATGCTAAAATACCAATGCACATATTAATGATTTCCACATGAGTTCTAAAATACTAGACCGCCCCCCTAATACAAGAACATGTAGACGAGTAGCCTAAATGCAATTCCACACACGTGCATGCAAAGCGCTCATGCCATGTAGAGGAAATGAACACTTTTGTTGATGTCGGTACACAACATAACCTTTTTGGGTCACAATTTGGCGACCCAAGTGAAATGCTGAACTGTATGAATTTTGATTCTACTTCGGGGTCTTAGTATGTTGAGACTAATCATAAAAGATTACATAAAGGATCTCAAAGTATGGACCCCCTTGAGTATGAACAACAATGCTTTTGGATTTTTTGATGTTCGTAATATGAAGGGAACCCATAGTGTTATCAGCGTGCACAAGTGTCGAAGCGGAAGATATCAGACTAGTGGTTATTACATATTTATCATCAACGACACAAACATCGTTCACAACTGTCCAACGAAGACTCGGGTTTGCCGGAGGTTTGGCTCAGGAGCTTTCGTCCACCACTGCTATCGCAATCGGAGAACCACCCAACAAGCCCTCCGTCCAATTCATCTGTCTTCGTGCCCAATTCCGATCAAAATTGTGAGCACTCCGTCCAATTCGTCGATCGAAGAACTAGCCGAACCGCGTTGTTTCCAATCCCCGGTCCTTTTTCTCCCCATCCAAATATCCAGCCCTCTATCAACATTAAAAATTGTCAAATTTATAAATTGACTCCCATTTTACTAATATGTTTGTTAATTGGTCCTTTCCTTATAATTTGACTTTAAAATCAAGTTATAAACACTAATCAGTCCAAAATAACAATCTAAATCACTGATATGCAATTTAATATAAAAACAAAGTTAATAAGTCTAACAAAATATTATAACACATGCACAAATACTAGACCGTTAATTTTACAGTTTTGTCTTTTTTGGCTCTTTTTCTATCGATTTACAGTTTTTGAGTTATATAAGCTTTGCTTGTGAGCATTTCTTTATGCAGACTTGGTATGAAAGTTACTTCGGTTTTTGATCTCCAGTTTCACAGCCAGTCCCCTGATTATTGGTTTCCGATTTGCGGTTGAGCGACATATCTTTTAACCTTATTGGAAATGGTTAAAAATCTCTGCCTTATTATTCTACATCAATATGAATAATTCTACATATCTCCACTAGTGTTTTCATCCCTCTCATTTTTAATTTATTGATTTGTTCTTTTATCATATGTCTTGATTCTATTGGGTCAGTTTAGTCCTTTAATGTTAACTTATAACTTAAAATTTTGAAATTAAAAATTATAATTTTTAATTTGTAAATATTAAATGTTAAAAAATTATTTTTAATCTTTAATTTTTACTTTTTTATTTTTTAAATTTATAATTAATTTTAAATATCATATATTTTTGTGCGACCAACAACAAAATTCAAATTGAGGTTTTTCATTTTTTATTTCTTGACCTCAATTTCATGTACTAAATGATGCCTAACTTTATGGTTTTTATAATTAAGATATTTAAATTAAATGTCAATAAAATCAATAGTGACAGATAAAATGTTGTTGCTAAAACTATAAACAATACCGATAGATCATATTTTGTTGCTAATACTGTTGAAACACGGGCTTGTCACGTTTTTCGTACTAAAGCCGTGTTTGTTTTTATGACAGGTTTTGATAATGCCAAACCGCCGTGATCAAGTCAAACATTGAATATGCAAGGCGAAGAACGAAGATAAGAACAAGAGCTAAATGAAGACCAAGAACGAAGACCTTAGTCTTAGCATCGTTGAGTCGGTCCTTATTGTGATCAAGCCCGACTCAATCTTTACATCTTGGCTCTTTAGGCTAAAATATTTTATTGCATTCATCACATCATAAAAATGTTTTTCAGGCGTGGGTAAATCATTAAAAACACTTGGTGTTCGCCCAAACCAAAAACCAAGCCATCCAGCGTTCGAGTTTCAGAAACTGGCGTTCGGCTTTCGGTTATCGGCATTGGTTTTTGGCGTCCGAACCAACCGAGTGGTTTTCACTCTTTGGAATGTTTAAACGGTTCTCCAACAAAAACACTTTGAAAACCACCTTTCGCTTTTGGTCGTTTGACAAAAACCACGCAAAACGGCGTAAACTTGGCTAGCCGTGATTTTTACTCAAATGACATGGTTTTTAAAGTGTCTCACTTGATTTCTTAGCCAAATACATCAAATAAGTGTTTTAAACACTTGGTTTTTATTTTGGAGAACTTTGGATTTTTCAGTCGGTTTTTGCATCGGTTGGCTAGGCCGTGGTTAAGGCAAAAACCATGGGTTTTTGACTAACCGCTCACCCAGCGTTGGGAAGATCTTCTCATCGATGGGTAAGTAGTCCCTCAGCCAAACCAATTTCCAGAACCATGCGAAACAGCGATGGGAAGTTCTACCCATCGCTGTTAAAGCCTTGGTGCAAAATTAACACAAGGCAGAACTACCTTGCCCAGCGATGGGAAACCTATCCCATCAATGGGAACCCAGCGATGGTAAGGGTAAACCATCGATGGGAAGGCATGACCTTTGGAAGTCATTTAAGGTTGATTCTTTCCTTGTTTGGAAGTCAACCTCCCACCCAGCGATGGGAAGCTTGTACCCATCGATGGGTAGGTGACCGTTGGCTTCAAAACTGAAGGAAAATTGGCTTACCAGCGATGGGTAAGTTCCAAACATCGATGGGAAGCCAATATCCTGCAGATCCCAAATTTATTCAATCCCATAAATCAAGCCAATCACCCCTTTAATGTATTGGTCCGTTGGAGCGTATTTTGGCACTATAAAAAGGGGTGTTTGGGTCTGCTTTTCTCATCAATTCACTTCACAATTCTCCTACTTTCATTGCATTCAAACAACATTCTTTTCCATAGCTTTTTAGAGCCATTTTGTGTGAAGGTTGAGTTGTTCTTGAGCGTACTTAGTTTACTCAATATCTACTCTAAAAGAGAGTCTCGTTCTTGAGTGTATTTTGTGTTCTTAGACACGTAGAGAGAAAGTATTTCTCTCGTTTGATTCAAAGGAAGGGCTGTTTCCTTTGAAGGACTCGTTGAGGTTCGTGTGACTCGAACTCTCAAGTTGTAAGGGTTTGTTAAGCACCGTTAAGCTTAACGTGATAGTAGTGTAGCTCGAGAGAGTCTCTCGGGAGGCTGGATTAGCCACAAGTTGTGGTGAACCAGGGTAAAATTTGGTGTGCCTCTTACTCTTCTCTTTACTTCTCTTTTAAATTTTTAATTCCTGCGATTTCTTTGATCAAACGCTATTCACCCCCCCTCTAGCGTTGGTCTATTATTCTAACAAATACTATAAACAATACTAAGAGATAAATTTTTTGTTGCTAATACTATAAACAATACTGACAGATAAAAGTTTGTTGCTAAAATTATAACCAATAGGGACAGATATTAATCTCTCTGTGGGTCAAATAGTTTTTGCCTTCAAATAATTTTATCTGTCGGTAATATTCTCTTTTTTGGAACAAATAAAGTTTGTGTCCCTAAGAATCTGTCGGTACTGCCCTCTTTTTTTGTAGTGTATGTAAACCATATATTTTTGATACTATATAATAAATAAAAACATATCGTATAGCATAAAAAATCGAAAATAGTAAGTGGAGAAGAAACTTTGGATGTTAGATGTGAAGTCGCGTAAAGTACTTCCATTATTGACTTTTAGAAAATTTTCGGGAGAGATATTTTTGTGTTGATTTTCCGAAAATACCGTACCTTTGATGTGATGAGTAAAAATAAGATGTGATGGATAAATTATTAGTAAAAAATATGCTGTGTAAAGGATAGAACTAATAATGGAAAAATATTTTTTTAAAGAAAGACAGATGAGTTTGTGGGACAAGAAAAAAGAAAGAATAAAGAGTTTAAGGGACCAAGGGAATATTCAAACCTGTAATGTTTATTTTAGGATTGAAAAAAGGAAAATGAACTTAGTTTCGACATAGAAAATATATACTTATATACATCTTCATTTTCTAACTAATATCATAAAGACTAGCTATTCAAGCATGCGTCAATTTTATTTTTTCTTTTCTTATATAACATACTTTTTGTAATATTTAATAATTAATATTTACTTTAAAACTTTGTAAAATTATTTTAACAAATTCAATTAAAATGAATGCATCATATTCTCCTCTCTTCTAAAAAAATTACAATATTACTATTGATGGGTATATCCTTATACACGGTCTGAATTTTTGAAAGGGACAGGTCAAAAGGTTGACCGGTCACTTTCCCCAATTACAAAAAGAGGCAAACTCTTCGAAAGAGACGGGTCGAAAGTTGACCGGTCACTTTCCAGAAAAAGTGATCGGTCACATTTTGGGCGATAGCCAAAACTTCACTTAATGCTACGAAGGATGCTGCGAAAGACCAAGAAGTAGTCCTGAGCTCAGGAAATGACCGGGTAACCTTTGAGGAAAGGTGACCGGTCATATCATTTTACTTGGCTAACATTTGTCCAATCTCCTAAGCATGGCGATCCACATCAAAGATCAGGAGATCACCCCGCCGCTCAACCTTTACGAGGTAAATAGTAGAAGGAATATTTGTCATGGTTGATTGGATGAAGATATCCTCTTAAAGTCATTAATTGTACAGTGCGTTTTGGTTGTATTAATGACAAGTCCATGATTGAATAGTAATTCCTTTATGTATAATGACCTTCCCACGAGCTTCCTATTTTGTCCATGGATGAACAGGGGAAGGTCACATATCCTCCTCTATAAATATGTTGATTATGGATAGAGGAGGGGATCCAATTTTTCTCTCACTAAACACTACGCCAAAAACATCATCAGACCACTGTTGATTCACTACTGTTTATGCAAACACAGTAGTTGAAAAAAAACAGACTACTGTTAGTTTTTCTTAAGAACAGAACAGTAGTCTAGCTGCGATGCTTTAAAACTATTTTTCAAGTTTCGAGAAACGGTAATGTATCATTAGTTGTCTGTCTCAGTTCAAGATACAGTTTTTCTTACAACAATTGTCAATAACAAGTTAAGAATACTCTTTTTAAACAATAGTCTGGGGTTTTATTCTAGAACTGTTTTTAAATTTATTAGAAACAGTTATCTAACGTTTGTTGTCTGTTTCATATGGGTTTTTTGCCACTGTTGTTTATAATAGGAATAGAAGACTCTTTTAGAACAATAGTCTATAAATTATGGGTAGAACTGTTTTTGAAGCTGTGAGAAACGGTCATCTATTATTAGTAGTCGGTTTCGTAAAAAAATACAGT